AGACGTTTAGGTCAATTTTATGCATTCTGGCGTTCGTAGATACAAGAAAACTGTTAAAATTCTTCAGAAACGTCACTTTTGAAGTGTTTTCTTGTACTTTTAAGCCAATCAGATACCCTACGGGCTCGGAAAGTGCAACGAAACCATCAAATTTTAGCTAGAAACTGTATTTTTGTCGATTTTTATTGAATTTGAACTATATTTCGACGTTTTTTGATGGTTCTGAGCCACCAAACACACTTAAAGCATGCAGAATCGACTCAGAATAGGAAAAGGAGACGTTTAGATCAATTTTATGCATTCTGGCGTTCGTAGATACAAGAAAACTGTTAAAATTCTTCAGAAACGTCACTTTTGAAGTGTTTTCTTGTACTTTTAAGCCAATCAGATACCCTACGGGCTCGGAAAGTGCAACGAAACCATCAAATTTTAGCTAGAAACTGTATTTTTGTCGATTTTTATTGAATTTGAACTATATTTCAACGTTTTTTGATGGTTCTGAGCCACCAAACACACTTAAAGCATGCAGAATCGACTCAGAATAGGAAAAGGAGACGTCTAGGTCAATTTTATGCATTCTGGCGTTCGTAGATACAAGAAAACTGTTAAAATTCTTCAGAAACGTCACTTTTGAAGTGTTTTCTTGTACTTTTAAGCCAATCAGATACCCTACGGGCTCGGAAAGTGCAACGAAACCATCAAATTTTAGCTAGAAACTGTATTTTTGTCGATTTTTATTGAATTTGAACTATATTTCAACGTTTTTTGATGGTTCTGAGCCACCAAACACACTTAAAGCATGCAGAATCGACTCAGAATAGGAAAAGGAGACGTTTAGGTCAATTTTATGCATTCTGGCGTTCGTAGATACAAGAAAACTGTTAAAATTCTTCAGAAACGTCACTTTTGAAGTGTTTTCTTGTACTTTTAAGCCAATCAGATACCCTACGGGCTCGGAAAGTGCAACGAAACCATCAAATTTTAGCTAGAAACTGTATTTTTGTCGATTTTTATTGAATTTGAACTATATTTCAACGTTTTTTGATGGTTCTGAGCCACCAAACACACTTAAAGCATGCAGAATCGACTCAGAATAGGAAAAGGAGACGTTTAGGTCAATTTTATGCATTCTGGCGTTCGTAGATACAAGAAAACTGTTAAAATTCTTCAGAAACGTCACTTTTGAAGTGTTTTCTTGTACTTTTAAGCCAATCAGATACCCAACGGGCTCGGAAAGTGCAACGAAACCATCAAATTTTAGCTAGAAACTGTATTTTTGTCGATTTTTATTGAATTTGAACTATATTTCAACGTTTTTTGATGGTTCTGAGCCACCAAACACACTTAAAGCATGCAGAATCGACTCAGAATAGGAAAAGGAGACATTTAGGTCAATTTTATGCATTCTGGCGTTCGTAGATACAAGAAAACTGTTAAAATTCTTCAGAAACGTCACTTTTGAAGTGTTTTCTTGTACTTTTAAGCCAATCAGATACCCTACGGGCTCGGAAAGTGCAACGAAACCATCAAATTTTAGCTAGAAACTGTATTTTTGTCGATTTTTATTGAATTTGAACTATATTTCAACGTTTTTTGATGGTTCTGAGCCACCAAACACACTTAAAGCATGCAGAATCGACTCAGAATAGGAAAAGGAGACGTTTAGGTCAATTTTATGCATTCTGGCGTTCGTAGATACAAGAAAACTGTTAAAATATTTCAGAAACGTCACTTTTGAAGTGTTTTCTTGTACTTTTAAGCCAATCAGATACCCTACGGGCTCGGAAAGTGCAACGAAACCATCAAATTTTAGCTAGAAACTGTATTTTTGTCGATTTTTATTGAATTTGAACTATTTTTCAACGTTTTTTGATGGTTCTGAGCCACCAAACACACTTAAAGCATGCAGAATCGACTCAGAATAGGAAAAGGAGACGTTTAGGTCAATTTTATGCATTCTGGCGTTCGTAGATACAAGAAAACTGTTAAAATTCTTCAGAAACGTCACTTTTGAAGTGTTTTCTTGTACTTTTAAGCCAATCAGATACCCAACGGGCTCGGAAAGTGCAACGAAACCATCAAATTTTAGCTAGAAACTGTATTTTTGTCGATTTTTATTGAATTTGAACTATATTTCAACGTTTTTTGATGGTTCTGAGCCACCAAACATACTTAAAGCATGCAGAATCGACTCAGAATAGGAAAAGGAGACGTTTAGGTCAATTTTATGCATTCTGGCGTTCGTAGATACAAGAAAACTGTTAAAATTCTTCAGAAACGTCACTTTTGAAGTGTTTTCTTGTACTTTTAAGCCAATCAGATACCCTACGGGCTCGGAAAGTGCAACGAAACCATCAAATTTTAGCTAGAAACTGTATTTTTGTCGATTTTTATTGAATTTAAACTATATTTCAACGTTTTTTGATGGTTCTGAGCCACCAAACACACTTAAAGCATGCAGAATCGACTCAGAATAGGAAAAGGAGACGTTTAGGTCAATTTTATGCATTCTGGCGTTCGTAGATACAAGAAAACTGTTAAAATTCTTCAGAAACGTCACTTTTGAAGTGTTTTCTTGTACTTTTAAGCCAATCAGGTACCCTACGGGCTCGGAAAGTGCAACGAAACCATCAAATTTTAGCTAGAAACTGTATTTTTGTCGATTTTTATTGAATTTGAACTATATTTCAACGTTTTTTGATGGTTCTGAGCCACCAAACACACTTAAAGCATGCAGAATCGACTCAGAATAGGAAAAGGAGACGTTTAGGTCAATTTTATGCATTCTGGCGTTCGTAGATACAAGAAAACTGTTAAAATTCTTCAGAAACGTCACTTTTGAAGTGTTTTCTTGTCCTTTCAAGCCAATCAGATACCCTACGGGCTCGGAAAGTGCAACGAAACCATCAAATTTTAGCTAGAAACTGTATTTTTGTCGATTTTTATTGAATTTGAACTATATTTCAACGTTTTTTGATGGTTCTGAGCCACCAAACACACTTAAAGCATGCAGAATCGACTCAGAATAGGAAAAGGAGACGTTTAGGTCAATTTTATGCATTCTGGCGTTCGTAGATACAAGAAAACTGTTAAAATTCTTCAGAAACGTCACTTTTGAAGTGTTTTCTTGTACTTTTAAGCCAATCAGATACCCTACGGGCTCGGAAAGTGCAACGAAACCATCAAATTTTAGCTAGAAACTGTATTTTTGTCGATTTTTATTGAATTTGAACTATTTTTCAACGTTTTTTGATGGTTCTGAGCCACCAAACACACTTAAAGCATGCAGAATCGACTCAGAATAGGAAAAGGAGACGTTTAGGTCAATTTTATGCATTCTGGCGTTCGTAGATACAAGAAAACTGTTAAAATTCTTCAGAAACGTCACTTTTGAAGTGTTTTCTTGTACTTTTAAGCCAATCAGATACCCAACGGGCTCGGAAAGTGCAACGAAACCATCAAATTTTAGCTAGAAACTGTATTTTTGTCGATTTTTATTGAATTTGAACTATATTTCGACGTTTTTTGATGGTTCTGAGCCACCAAACACACTTAAAGCATGCAGAATCGACTCAGAATAGGAAAAGGAGACGTTTAGTAATAATAATAATAATAAATGTTTATTATCCAACAGACCGTAGCCCAATTATAGGATAATATGTATAATATGTACCTGACTGAATATAAATCTAAATAAAGTATAATTTGACATAACAGTCGTAGTTACAGACAATTTCACATATAAATGAATAAACGGTAACTCATAAATTACATAAATTATAAAAAGATATCTAAAGAAAAAGAAAAATTCAAAAGCATAATTTACTATTGGAAATTAGCCATCGACTTTAAACAAATGATACTTCTGATGCATCTTTGGCTATCGTAGAATATATCGCAGCTTTTCCCGTATTTGTTGAAGGTTGAACACATCAGATATATAGGTGATTTCTTCAATAATTTTGTTCTGGCTGTAGGCAAATAGAACGTATCTGTACTTCTGAGCTGAAGTTGTGGCACGCGAAATTTTATAACTTCCAGTATTTCTGGTGTATCGATATAACCATTGACGACCTTATATAGGAATGATACAGCAAGGATATTTCTTCTTATCTCTAGAGCTGGAATACTAAATCTTTCAAGTAGCCGGTTCTCTGGAAATTTGCGTGGAGGGTATATATTGTCGCTTTTAAAGGCTAGATACTTCAGGAGCCGTCTCTGTATCTTCTCCAAGGACATCTTGTGGCATTGATCTATAGGTGACCACACTGTAGAGCAATAATCAAGTAGAGATCTTGCGTAGCAAAAATACAATTTCTTAACGCATTTAGTATTAAACGATTTTGAATTGCGTATAATAAATCCCGTAATTTTGGACGCCTTACCTGCAATGTATCTGTAGTGTTCAGCAAACTGTAATTTTACATCAAAAATTACACCTAGGTCTTTAATAACGACATCTCTCTTAATGCTTACATTACTTAAAAAATAATTAGTGACCACAGGATACTTTTTATTAGTATATGCTATGTATCTACATTTATCAAGCGATAGTGATAGTCGGTTATTCTCAGACCATAGCACAAATTTGGATACATCGTTCTGTAATGAGTGACTGTCATCCTGATCCTTTACCTCTCTAAATAATTTGACGTCGTCAGCATAAAGCAAAATTTTGTTTTTAACAATATCCGGCAGGTCGTTCATAAAAAGAAGAAATAACAGTGGGCCAAGGTTAGAACCTTGAGGCACGCCGGAACGAACTGGATATGAGAAAGAATTGAAACCTTCATATGAAACGTACTGTGTCCGTCCAAGGAGATAACTCTCAAATAATTTGACTAAGTTACTGTCAAACCCAAACATCTGCAATTTATACAATAAAATGTAATGATCAATTCTGTCAAACGCACGACGAAAATCAAAATATATGACATCTAATTGACCACCTTTATCTAATACACTGAGAGCATATTGAGTAAACTGAACTAGATTGGTAAGGGTCGACCGTCCTTTCACAAAGCCATGTTGACTAAGTGAAATTTTTGGCAGGACTTGGTGATATATTTTTCCGTATATAATCATCTCAAAAATCTTGGAAAAATTGCACAGAATGGAAATAGGTCTATAATTAGACACATCAGAGATATCGCCGTCCTTGTGTACAGGGCAAATGCGCGCTTTTTTCCAAGTATATGGAAATTGTCCAGTCTGAATGCATAAATTAAACAAACGGGTAAGTGGTGTTGCAAAGAGGACTGCACAGTCTTTCACTAGAAACGCCGGGATGCCGTCGACTCCAGCTGTAAACTTACTTTTTAACTTCTTGCAAGCGGCAACAACATCTTTATTTGTTATAAGTGGCAGACTTACATTTAAAGATTGTATGTTGATCGAACTGGATCAACAATTAGGTCAATTTTATGCATTCTGGCGTTCGTAGATACAAGAAAACTGTTAAAATTCTTCAGAAACGTCACTTTTGAAGTGTTTTCTTGTACTTTTAAGCCAATCAGATACCCTACGGGCTCGGAAAGTGCAACGAAACCATCAAATTTTAGCTAGAAACTGTATTTTTGTCGATTTATATTGAATTTGAACTATATTTCAACGTTGTTTGATGGTTCTGAGCCACCAAACACACTTAAAGCATGCAGAATCGACTCAGAATAGGAAAAGGAGACGTTTAGGTCAATTTTATGCATTCTGGCGTTCGTAGATACAAGAAAACTGTTAAAATTCTTCAGAAACGTCACTTTTGAAGTGTTTTCTTGTACTTTTAAGCCAATCAGATACCCTACGGGCTCGGAAAGTGCAACGAAACCATCAAATTTTAGCTAGAAACTGTATTTTTGTCGATTTTTATTGAAGTTGAACTATATTTCAACGTTTTTTGATGGTTCTGCGCCACCAAACACACTTAAAGCATGCAGAATCGACTCAGAATAGGAAAAGGAGACGTTTAGGTCAATTTTATGCATTCTGGCGTTCGTTGATACAAGAAAACTGTTAAAATTCTTCAGAAACGTCACTTTTGAAGTGTTTTCTTGTACTTTTAAGCCAATCAGATACCCTACGGGCTCGGAAAGTGCAACGAAACCATCAAATTTTAGCTAGAAACTGTATTTTTGTCGATTTTTATTGAATTTGAACTATTTTTCAACGTTTTTTGATGGTTCTGAGCCACCAAACATACTTAAAGCATGCAGAATCGACTCAGAATAGGAAAAGGAGACGTTTAGGTCAATTTAATGCATTCTGGCGTTCGTAGATACAAGAAAACTGTTAAAATTCTTCAGAAACGTCACTTTTGAAGTGTTTTCTTGTACTTTTAAGCCAATCAGATACCCTACGGGCTCGGAAAGTGCAACGAAACCATCAAATTTTAGCTAGAAACTGTATTTTTGTCGATTTTTATTGAATTTAAACTATATTTCAACGTTTTTTGATGGTTCTGAGCCACCAAACACACTTAAAGCATGCAGAATCGACTCAGAATTGGAAAAGGAGACGTTTAGGTCAATTTTATGCATTCTGGCGTTCGTAGATACAAGAAAACTGTTAAAATTCTTCAGAAACGTCACTTTTGAAGTGTTTTCTTGTACTTTTAAGCCAATCAGATACCCTACGGGCTCGGAAAGTGCAACGAAACCATCAAATTTTAGCTAGAAACTGTATTTTTGTCGATTTTTATTGAATTTGAACTATATTTCAACGTTTTTTGATGGTTCTGAGCCACCAAACACACTTAAAGCATGCAGAATCGACTCAGAATAGGAAAAGGAGACGTTTAGGTCAATTTTATGCATTCTGGCGTTCGTAGATACAAGAAAACTGTTAAAATTCTTCAGAAACGTCACTTTTGAAGTGTTTTCTTGTCCTTTTAACCCAATCAGATACCCTACGGGCTCGGAAAGTGCAACGAAACCATCAAATTTTAGCTAGAAACTGTATTTTTGTCGATTTTTATTGAATTTGAACTATATTTCAACGTTTTTTGATGGTTCTGAGCCACCAAACACACTTAAAGCATGCAGAATCGACTCAGAATAGGAAAAGGAGACGTTTAGGTCAATTTTATGCATTCTGGCGTTCGTAGATACAAGAAAACTGTTAAAATTCTTCAGAAACGTCACTTTTGAAGTGTTTTCTTGTACTTTTAAGCCAATCAGATACCCTACGGGCTCGGAAAGTGCAACGAAACCATCAAATTTTAGCTAGAAACTGTATTTTTGTCGATTTTTATTGAATTTGAACTATATTTCAACGTTTTTTGATGGTTCTGAGCCACCAAACACACTTAAAGCATGCAGAATCGACTCAGAATAGGAAAAGGAGACGTTTAGGTCAATTTTATGCATTCTGGCGTTCGTAGATACAAGAAAACTGTTAAAATTCTTCAGAAACGTCACTTTTGAAGTGTTTTCTTGTACTTTTAAGCCAATCAGATACCCTACGGGCTCGGAAAGTGCAACGAAACCATCAAATTTTAGCCAGAAACTGTATTTTTGTCGATTTATATTGAATTTGAACTATATTTCAACGTTTTTTGATGGTTCTGAGCCACCAAACACACTTAAAGCATGCAGAATCGACTCAGAATAGGAAAAGGAGACGTTTAGGTCAATTTTATGCATTCTGGCGTTCGTAGATACAAGAAAACTGTTAAAATTCTTCAGAAACGTCACTTTTGAAGTGTTTTCTTGTACTTTTAAGCCAATCAGATACCCTACGGGCTCGGAAAGTGCAACGAAACCATCAAATTTTAGCTAGAAACTGTATTTTTGTCGATTTTTATTGAATTTGAACTATATTTCAACGTTTTTTGATGGTTCTGAGCCACCAAACACACTTAAAGCATGCAGAATCGACTCAGAAAAGGAAAAGGAGACGTTTAGGTCAATTTTATGCATTCTGGCGTTCGTAGATACAAGAAAACTGTTAAAATTCTTCAGAAACGTCACTTTTGAAGTGTTTTCTTGTACTTTTAAGCCAATCAGATAACCTACGGGCTCGGAAAGTGCAACGAAACCATCAAATTTTAGCTAGAAACTGTATTTTTGTCGATTTTTATTGAATTTGAACTATATTTCAACGTTTTTTGATGGTTCTGAGCCACCAAACACACTTAAAGCATGCAGAATCGACTCAGAATAGGAAAAGGAGAAGTTTAGGTCAATTTTATGCATTCTGGCGTTCGTAGATACAAGAAAACTGTTAAAATTCTACAGAAACGTCACTTTTGAAGTGTTTTCTTGTACTTTTAAGCCAATCAGATACCCAACGGGCTCGGAAAGTGCAACGAAACCATCAAATTTTAGCTAGAAACTGTATTTTTGTCGATTTTTATTGAATTTGAACTATATTTCAACGTTTTTTGATGGTTCTGAGCCACCAAACACACTTAAAGCATGCAGAATCGACTCAGAATAGGAAAAGGAGACGTTTAGGTCAATTTTATGCATTCTGGCGTTCGTAGATACAAGAAAACTGTTAAAATTCTTCAGAATCGTCACTTTTGAAGTGTTTTCTTGTACTTTTAAGCCAATCAGATACCCAACGGGCTCGGAAAGTGCAACGAAACCATCAAATTTTAGCTAGAAACTGTATTTTTGTCGATTTTTATTGAATTTGAACTATATTTCAACGTTTTTTGATGGTTCTGAGCCACCAAACACACTTAAAGCATGCAGAATCGACTCAGAATAGGAAAAGGAGACGTTTAGGTCAATTTTATGCATTCTGGCGTTCGTAGATACAAGAAAACTGTTAAAATTCTTCAGGAACGTCACTTTTGAAGTGTTTTCTTGTACTTTTAAGCCAATCAGATACCCTACGGGCTCGGAAAGTGCAACGAAACCATCAAATTTTAGCTAGAAACTGTATTTTTGTCGATTTTTATTGAATTTGAACTATATTTCAACGTTTTTTGATGGTTCTGAGCCACCAAACACACTTAAAGCATGCAGAATCGACTCAGAATAGGAAAAGGAGACGTTTAGGTCAATTTTATGCATTCTGGCGTTCGTAGATACAAGAAAACTGTTAAAATTCTTCAGAAACGTCACTTTTGAAGTGTTTTCTTGTACTTTTAAGCCAATCAGATAACCTACGGGCTCGGAAAGTGCAACGAAACCATCAAATTTTAGCTAGAAACTGTATTTTTGTCGATTTTTATTGAATTTGAACTATATTTCAACGTTTTTTGATGGTTCTGAGCCACCAAACACACTTAAAGCATGCAGAATCGACTCAGAATAGGAAAAGGAGACGTTTAGGTCAATTTTATGCATTCTGGCGTTCGTAGATACAAGAAAACTGTTAAAATTCTTCAGAAACGTCACTTTTGAAGTGTTTTCTTGTACTTTTAAGCCAATCAGATACCCTACGGGCTCGGAAAGTGCAACGAAACCATCAAATTTTAGTTAGAAACTGTATTTTTGTCGATTTTTATTGAATTTGAACTATATTTCAACGTTTTTTGATGGTTCTGAGCCACCAAACACACTTAAAGCATGCAGAATCGACTCAGAATAGGAAAAGGAGACGTTTAGGTCAATTTTATGCATTCTGGCGTTCGTAGATACAAGAAAACTGTTAAAATTCTTCAGAAACGTCACTT